CGCCCCGCTCACACCACCCACCCAGCCTACGGCCCTGGTTTATATTTAAGCAGTTTTAAATCTTCTGAATCATTTTCTAAACCTTATCTTATTGCATGCCATCCAAGTATTAATAAAATTGGAGGATGATGGGTGTTAATTCAGAAGCACTAATACATTAACAATACAGAAGGACAAATGATTACATCGTGAATGCTGCTCAAAAAGAAAGACCACTTAAGCTATATTTGTATCTGCAATCCTTTGTGGTACGTTCAGTTTCTATTTCTCTATCTTTCTCTGCTCTGTTGTATAACAGTTACCAAGAAACATGTTTTTTATACGGAAATGAAGCCAATGCGTTCATATGTGAAAAATACACGTGGTTTTGTCGAGAAGTCCGTAGAAAATCAGTGACGATTTTCCAAAAGTTTGTTGTAAAGCCTATATTCTATGGCTTTGTTCACTTCACAATGGTAAAACAACGTATTTTGTGTACAAAAGTGTATAAATTGAATTATCTACATAAACCTTCGATGTTCTGTGTTATTAATGCATTTCACTTTTATCTTAGTATATTTTTAATCTTATTTAGTAAAGATCAATAACAATCAATGTCGATTTATGACGGTTTTCATGAAAAGTATACCGTAAACAAACATATTTATAAATGTTATGCATGAAAATACGAAAATATGTATGAAATATGGATTTCTTTATTTGGTTTTCTGCAGTGCTGGTACGTACATGTATCAACTCGTTTACATCTTATATCTATCAAACATTCATTTAAATTGACTGACAAAAATTCTCAAGAGAAGATACTTAAAGTTTCGCATTTTGCAAAATAGGCAAAAAAAGATAATAAATAAAAGAAAGAATGTTGAATCATTTAATCTTAATTCGAATAGCTGATATTAACTGGTATAAAAAAGGGAATATATATAAATACTTAATCATCTAAAAGAATGATCTAAAACATATAGGCCAAGGTAGCCAATACGGTGTTTAACTCTCAAGTAAATTTGACATGAACATGTCCGGTTTTATTAATTCCTGCTCCCTTTGAATCAATCACCCTTTCTTTTGTTATAACAAAGTAAAGAAATAATAAAAATAAAATACTGTTAATACGGTAGATTAATAAATAAAAAGCAGTAGATGTGAACTTTAACCATGAAAATTTCCTGAACACGTTTTCAAATTTACATTTCAAGAGAGTTTTACAAGAAAACTTTTAAAATGGTAAACGTCGCATATTTTGACACGCCCCCCCCCAAAAAAAGATAAAATAAAATAAAATAAAATAAAATAAAATAAAATAAAATAAAGGTTACCGTGTCTTTAAAATGCGCACGTGTTGGCACTGAATGCCTCTACACACTGAGTAACAATAAATAATTTTAACAAATGAAAAAAAAAAAAAAAAAAAACGTATAGACATAGACCTACACTGGAGAACGTGAATTCCGTCTTTTTCTCCAAAAATTATTGTATTCAGTAAAATGAAAAGATTGAATATCGAGATAAATTAAGGAAATAACGACTTCGATTACTTACATATTTTGGCCAAAACAAATATTTCTCAAGTGTCAAAAAGTTGAAGAAGTGATACAAAATGTCTGTTGACTAATAACGGTAATTTCTCATCTTTTAAAAAATTCAGAATTCTGATTTTTTAATTCCAAGCCTTGGCACCAAATTCCCGAAAGATTTTAAATATGTTTCTGTAAAAAATATAACAACAAAATTAATTAATCAAATAGAAATGGACTTAGACCTACTTGCAAAATTGTGTTAGGTGAGATGGCGATATGATTTTTGGTCTCATCCAACACAATTATTGCCCACGTGAACTGACACCCACCGTTAATCTCACATTAAGTAAATATGACATCTGACATCATGGTTTTGGCCATATCGTGCAAGCCGGTGAGTTAGGTGGCGTACAACTTCACATTAACGAACTGGACCGGACATTTTCCACTTCGTTTGTTTCCGCCTACTTCCGTCTTTCAAATTCAAGATGGCGACCAACAAGAGAAAGCAGGATGAGAAACACCTCAAAATGTTACGAGAGATGGTGTCCCTTCCACACAACAAACAGTGCTTTGACTGTGGCCAACGAGGCCCTACCTACGTGAATATGACGATAGGATCTTACGTGTGCACATCTTGTAGTGGAATATTGTGAGTATTGAGCAATATTGTGTCTTCGCCGGTCGTTTTCGACCACGATTCATGTTCTGCATAACGCCTCCCGCATCCGACCCGTTTAAGTTTACACAGTAGGAGTGTGACGTTCATTTTTTTCGGTAAAAACGTGCCTAGATATTTTTATCGTAAAGATATGGCACTACTTGCCTTTCTAGTGTTGATTTTTTTAACACTGGGGATCCAATTACTAGTAGATACTAGATGACACTTGCTGCATGCTTGAAGTCGTATTTGAGGAGTGTAGTTGCAGCTGTCATAAGATTTACTTAGTGACTACCTGCGCGGGAGAGGGTGCCGTTATCTCATTTTTTGGTTGTTTATACTTACAATATTTTTCTTCTGCTTATAACTTGACTCTATCCCTGGCTGAAATGGCCAGGACTGACATATACCCACTGATTGGGCCACAAGAGAAGCTAGGGCTCCCCTGATGACTTAGACCCCCCCCATCCCTCCTCCAGACCCCTTGCATTTTCCCTCTTTGATTTATCCATTGATAATAGACACACCTTGATCTGACATTTTATTATTGGCCTGCATATGTCTGCAGGACATGTTATCTTTCCATGATTCAATGACCACCTGTCAGTTTTGTTAAAAATATGTTTTTAGATTTATTTTCATAATGTCATTATGACATGTCACTATTGCCCTGATGGTGTGGTTCTTTGATGTTAGCTAACTTTCAAAGTAATTGAGCTGACATTTACTTGGTCAGCAGCTGGTGGTTAAAGAAGGTTTCATTTTCATGTCATTTGCACACAGTCAGTTTATGCATGTGTGTGATCCTAATTAATATTATTATGTGTCAATGGGCTGTTTCTCAGCTTAAAGGTCAACATATCAGGTCAACATACTGGGTCAACATATTAGGTCAACATACTGAGTCAGCAGTGTAATATGTGTAAAGCAGTCTCATTACTCGACTTTCAAATTAGAGATGGGCCTTAAATTAACTTCAGTAGAAACTCTTATTGGAGAGATCCACTTATTTCTTTGGCTATTTAATGACTTCTTTTACCAGTGATTACTGTAATGAGGATATCATTGACAACTGTAATGGAATCTGCGTAATTGCAGATGTAAAGATGTTGAAATGTACTAGTAAGCATTCTTAGACCTTTTTATACTACTAGTAATTTAAAATAACATATAAAGCTTACATATAAAGCTGTTAAGCTTAAAATAGGCTAAAGTCTGCAATTAGATTAAGTTAAATTCATATTTCAGATTGTGTACATTCAAATTTAAGTGGATGCACTTGAAATTTGATAGACCTCTATCTCAAAATATTTTTGTTTTCTCCAGTATCTATTACATGAATTATCATTCTACAATATATTGACCCTTGATAACCCAGATAAGATCTTTTCCTTGTATACTGAGTTGTTCTCCAGTAAGGCTTGTTACAACTTATCATTTATCACACACACTCAAACAAAAACTGATAGTCAGCAAGATGGGTTGGATATATGAAGTAGATGAATTTAGCTGCTGTTACTTTTTCACCCTAATGGTTCCATTTAATTTAAGTTATCAGTAATCACTTATGCCCTTTTGTCACACACGCACGTGCCTGCACACACACAAACACACACACCAAAGAAAATTTGGATAATTTTAGTTTACGTACGTACTGGTAAG